TCCACCCCCTTCACCTCTCCCACTTCCACACTATCTTTGCAACAACACGCTTCCTCATAGACGACAGTATGTTGGTTCAGAAGACCCCACATTGCTTGGTATGAACTACGGTGCTGATACGAGGGGTAATGTCTATGTGAATGATGCATATGGTTGTAGTTTATATACCCATGTCACCCCTGGATCTCAACACTTGGAACTCCATCAGGTTGGTAGAAAGAAAGATAATGATATTACACCAAATAAAATTCCCTAATTCAATGTTTCCCAAACTAATTCGACTGTTCAACCCTTTTGATTTCCTAAAGTGCCAATGAAACTCCGGACCATTTCTAGTCTTATGCCCCACCTGATGGGACGTTAGCTATGAAAAAATACCCACAAAAACAGAGGCCTGAAAAGATTAAAAAATATTCTTATAATGTTGACAACAAGAAACAGAATGTGTCTGTGTTATTACAATTGGTACCTACATAAATTAACCAAATTATAAAAATAGAACTTATATACTTCTTCCAAATTTGTTTCAAGACAATAAAACTGGTATGAATTAAGACGCAGTAAATGTGCCATTTGAAATGCATACTTTTATGTATTCAATAAGACGAGGATTTTTTAATTTTTTTATTTGTCAAATATTAGTTCTGATTGCACAGAAAAACTTAAGGCCATGGCACGGGGACTGTTTCTGGATTGCTGTTTTTCTTTATTGTGCTGAATGGTAGGAGCACACAGATTGCGTGTTTTGCTTGATCAGTTGACAGACTCAGCTGCTATTAAAAAGGTAACTGAGCAAGAAAGCCACACAACATCAGAAGGCAAAGATTCGTTTCTCCTATGGATAATATCTAAAATTCTAGTTTTCATAGCAATGACAGTGTTATGTCTGTTGTGTTATGGTAGTAATATTCTTTCTACCAGTGACAAATTCATTTCAGGTATGCCACACTTTAATTTTAAAGTTGAATATCTCTTGACCAGTGGTGTAGTTTTGCATATTTTCACATAAGAGGTTCTCTTTGACAGAGTTATTAAAACATAAATAAACAAATGCAAGTAACACACAAGGGATCCTGAGGTGTCGGTAAACTCAACTAACTGTAACAAATAAGAATCACACAGCTACAGTTGAAAAGTGGTTCTTTTCTTGACAAAAACATCAATATCTTAAATATTACATGCAGCATTGTTATTTGACAGCATACTGTCACTTTTTTCTGCTCCTCATTAAGCGCACACATTGCAGTATCAAAGCATGAGTGTTTTTCAAATTGTGTGCGCATCTTCAGCATGTGTTCATGGGAACTTTGTAGGATGCATCTGATACATTTTATTTTCTCTTTTAGGATTATCATAATTTGTGAGTGCATAAAACGTTTACTTAAAAAAATTGTATCTTTGCCCTTGTGTTCTAAGTGATTTATTTCTAATTGCCTTCACAGTTTAACTGGTGCCATGTAAGAACCTGAAATCATACTAAGTAATCTTAGGTTTGAATTTTAAGTTCATGTGAAATATAAAGAAACTTACGGAAGACCATAGGGCAGTGGATTTTCTTACAGAAGTAGAATAATTTAAGGAATACATAATTCAGGAATTGGGGAAAAAAGACCAGGGAGTCATTCCTCCTACTGAACAAACATATCATAAAATATACCATTGCATGAAAGATAAAATAACATGAGACAAAGAACTGAATACTAGTGATCAAGTGTTGGAGGAGATGAGGTATTTGAAGGAGAAAATGCTAACTTCAAATATAGTTCGAATTGTATTTACTTTTGAATACATTCCAGTCATACAATCTAAGCTAGATTGCCCCCAAAGTAAACTATTCCAATAAGTGTTCTTATAAACTGTTTCAATATTTTGGAGAGGTGGTGCAAGAAATTCTATCATAGAACATCTGTTATGGCACTCCTCATCTTGTGGCATGGAATGCCATTGTTCTACAGAACACAGTTTGGGAAACTGCCCTGATTAATACTGGTAGCACATTCCAAAGGTTTACAAATGCCCATTAAAAAATTATATTGAGCCAGTTCCATTTACAACCTGTCTTTTCTTCCCTAAGATCTGTTTTAATGTTATCCTCCCATCTCCTTGGTCATCCAAGAACTTTATTTCCCACATCTTAGCTGCATGCTCGGCTGACTCTAGCTTTCTGCATTTTACTGTCCTCACAAAACTATTTGGTCTGTATAAATGAGGAATTATCCCATTGTGGAATGGCTTATCTTGAATACTGTGTGTTATGCTACTTTCATTAAATATTTGACCATTTTTTATGGAATTGCAGAATATCTAAGAAGTCAGTGTACAGTACTAAAATAATTTTTTGACAAATATAACATGTGTCAGGAATGGGTTGCACAACTTTTTGATCTATATGTACCTTAATCATTGAGAGATTAAGAGTTAATTTTATTCCATAACAATGATTACGAATGGTAATTCAATTTAAAAGCTTAGTGTGTATGACATCATAATTGTCACGTTCTTATGATTTATTATTAGACGATTCCTTTTTCCCAGGTGACACTGTTCAAAGATCCTGTGTATGAAGATTTTGGATTTAGTGTGTCTGATGGCCTTTATGAACGAGGAGTGTACATAAACAGAATTCGAAAGGGTGGACCTGCAGACATGAGTGCAGTATTGCGACCATATGATCGTATTCTGCAGGTTTGTATGATGGACATTGGCAAATATTAGCTGCTGTAGATAATTCTGAATTGTTGCATAAAGCAAATATTGATGATGTAGAAAAAATGGGTAGCTTTTATAAGTATTAATATATACAAATTTAAAAATTACCTCAACAAATTGTTGTTGTTGTTCCTTGGCTCTACAATTCAGTTGTGGGTCTTTGCTGCCTCCTAATCGGAGGTTTCTTGGTCTTGAAGTGTGCATTTGTGAGTAGTGAGTGATGAGCCCACTGCTTCTGCACAATTTCTACTCAAACCTGATTTGATTGCTAGAGCCATCTAGCAGTGAATCAGGAGACTTGGGTGAGAAATGGCCACTGAAGTTTGCTTACAAAACATCTCGTTCATGCTCGTAAGATTCTTTTACATGCTGTAAATCTACAACATGGGACCGCCGGCTTTAGTTCCCCTCCGAAGGAATTTGTGCTACGGATTTTTATCACCCTTAAAAATCCATCGACCTCTGTCGAGTTTGAACCCACGAACATTGGGTCCAATGGCGAGTATGCTAACCATTAGTCCATCGAGGGAAACTACCACAACAAGGTTGAATAAACAGGATCTGATAACTTTAAATTGAACATGCACCTGTAATAATGTTTGCTTTTCTCTTTAGAAGCTAGTCAAATTATATTCAAGATAGTAAGTTACTGCACTTCACAATGTAAATCTGTTTTCTGCTGTTTTTATGTAATAATGACAGTAAAAGCAATAATGTGATGTAACAGTAAAACCGATGAAACTGTATTAAAATCTTCATGAGAATATTATCAGGATTTGTGTCTAATTTAGTGGTTTGACACTGTCTTCATACATTTCCTGTGATATAGTGTTCATTGTGTGTTACTCTTATTATGATATATAAAGTTATGCATCATTTTTGTTGTATATATTGCTGGTTCTGTGTCCTGGTTCAGTGTGAGGTTATGTCACTGGTGTAGCAATATTTTTATCTGAATGAATGGTTTCGGAACATGTTGTGTTGTATTTCTTGTGTCATATGATATGTTTATATTTGTACCAGTGAACAGGGAGCAGTTGAAGACAGTGACCAACCACCAAGTAGATACACAACATGATAATGCTCTCATAAATATATGAATGCAGTTTTCGCTTCTGTACTTTTAGGTAAATGAGACACGAACCCATGACTTTGACTGTTGTCTCACAGTGCCTCTCATAGCCTCAGCAGGTGAAAAACTGGAGCTTACTGTTGCAAGAAACAGTGTCTTTTTAGCAGATAATGAGGTGAGTAGCTTGTAACTTCACAAAGGATCCTCAAATATCCTTGTGTGGTATTGGCTGTGATCAACTTAACTTTGCTGTCAACTTCATTTTATTATCTACTTTCTTGATAGGTTATTAACGCAAAATATTATCTAAATGTGATATGTGTGCTGGTTTGAAGTCTTGATTTAGCTTACTTCCCTTGTGTTGTGGTATTATGTCCATGAGTCAACCCCAAAATATTTGAACCAGTTGTTTACAGACTTTAATTAAATTTAGTGTGACTAGATCATTACAAAATATAAAACTTTTCTTAAGATAATAGTTTTTGTAAGTTTTAAAACAACATGTAGCCATGCAAAATCAATATTTATTTTTCATTTTGGTTGTGAAAGCTAATGAACCACTCCCACAAATTTTGTATGGAACCCTTCTGTGTGTTAATTGATGCAAACAGTGTAAATCTTGGGTTATATCTGACATGTGGCATAGTCAGAATTTGTATTAGTGGAAATTGCAGGCATACACAGATAACATGTTTTATAATTATTAACTTGCAGCTGTGGCATAAACTGAAGCAGCTGAAGGAAAATGTACATCCAGAGTTTTTCCCAAAGTTGTTCTTATGATTTAAAGTGATTAAAATTATAACTTTTATAAATGAGTCTTGGTTTTACTTCATTGAAAAATGTCTGAGTCAGAATAAAAACTGCAGATCTTATTAACAAGACAGGTATATTTTAAGATGGCTGTCTTCTGGGTTACGCCATGTAATCTGGTAGAAGTTTGCCAGCGTTTCAGAGGTCCTTGCCGCCTACATCATCAGGGTAATGACTCATCACCGTGTTGATGGAGATAGCAAGGACCTCTGAAATGTCAGTAAACTTCTACCAGACTACACGGCGCAACAGCCCAGAAGACAGACATCTTTAGACTCACCGCCATGAAAACCTCAAATCCTACTAAGACAGGTGTACTTATTTTACAATTTACCCCTCCCCGTACAACATGCTGGAGTAGAAACTTCGGCAAG